AGTGTAGGACTGCCAGCCAGCGGCCAGCAGCCAGGCCTCAGCAGTCGCCATTAGAGGAAAGGAAAAGCTGGCTCTGAGGCACGTCCCCACTAATGCCTGATGGTTCCCTGAAGTGCCAGGTTCTGGGGGTAAGGTATTTTAATTTCCATCACCCCAAAGGAGTTTTGTTCAGCAGGCCTGCTGTTTTTGTCCTGACTCTCAGAGCTGAACATTAAAATGGCCCAAAGTTGAGCCCAATTGGTGCCCTCAAGGCTGGAGAGAAATGAAGGAGGAGGTTGCCTGTTACAGGTGGGGGTCAGGTCCAAGGAGTTATTCTTAGGCTTGGCAGCCCCAGGCCTTGTCCCCACGTGGGTATCTTTGTTCTCTGTGGTTCTGGACGGCAACCCTAATGGACTTCTGTCCTCTTTAGTCTTGCAACAACTGCAACCCCTGGGCAAGAGTTTCTGGGCATTTTGGGTACTGTCTTTTTTCTAACCTTTTTTTTTTTTTTTATTTCACAGGCAGCAGGGATGCAAAATTATGTGAAAAGACCATCCCTAAGCAGCAGTTTGAGTCAAGGTTATGGGTCTTCTCTGCTTTGTGCAGTGGTTTATGGGGGGCATGAGCAGGGCTGTGTGTGTGGCAGGGTTGAGGGACAGAATGGTGCCTGGAGGACAATAAGAGGGTGTGGTGGGGAGTCTTTTGTCCTGGGGACATTATCCAAACTTTGGAGGTCTATAAGGTTGTATCTTAAGAGCATAGTGAACAGGACTCTCCTGAAGTCCTGCAGCCTCTGTTTGCTGGCAGCCCCCAAAGGCAGGTCCAAGGTGGGCCTTTGGAAGGACTGTCCCCGAACTTCAAGCCTTTTTGCCTTCAGCAAAGAAAGACAGCTCCCCCCACCCACACACCCAGACAATGGAGTCCCAGAGTCCTTTCCATCTCTTCCACTCTCAAAGATCTTAGATGCCAGGCTATGGCAGGACCAAAACTTTTAATTTTTTTTTTAAGGGAGGGGGAATCTTGTAAAACTTTTATGCCAAACAAAGTTATAAAAACTTCCCAGGCGTTGCCTTTTCCAAAGGTTTATATGAATAATAAAGAGTGTAGTCGCGTGCACAGAGTTCTGGCCTGCCCGGAGCAGGCAGGATTTAGCAAACTGCATTATTTAGCCTTAGGGCACAGGAAACCCCAGGGGCTGCCCTCTTCAGGGAATATTAGTCCCGAAAGGAATTGCCCTACAGATTCCAGAGAGGGGAGGGGTGGGGGGAGAAGGGGTGGTGCCCTTGACTCCCTTGAAGTTCAAAGTTCTTCTTTGCCCTAATGAAAAAAGTACTCTCTGTCCACTCAGGCCACTCAAGAAATTAGCCCAAGGTTGTTTCTTTTCTCTTAGTGAGGACTGACTGCAAGTAACCCCAGCTCTGTTCACCTTTCAGACCCTGGTCTACCCGTTTTTTGCTTTCCCCCAAACAAGACTCCTCAGCTTCTCCATCTGGGAGGCTTAGAATCCATGCTCTCAGAGGTGCTTAATGGGGGTTGTCAGTCTTCTTCTAAGGGACCCTTGCATTGCCATTCCCCACCACCCTAAGTGTCTGAGTGACAAAGAAACCCCAAACCCAAGGCTACCCCCAAACCCACATCTCCTTTTGAGTGCCTCTGGCTCCTCTGCACCCCCAAAGCCCATAGTGGGAGGGGAAGGGGCCCAGAGTTCTCTGTCAGCCCACACCACTTAATACCCTTGTAAACTCCCACGTGCGCTATAAACTTGGATTTTTACAACCAACATTCCTCCTTAGCTCCGGGAAACTTTGAACTCGGCCTCGGGTTTATTTACTTGGGCAGGGGGGAGCTGGGAGCTGAGAAAGGATAGTGAAAAAGAGGGAAAATGTGGGGCAAGGAGATGATGGGGTGGGGGTCTGGGGTGTGTTGGGAGAGCTAAGATGGTCCACTTCGGGTTTGTTTACTATTTAGGGCGGAAGCGTTTTTTAACACAGGCCAGACTGGGTCGTTAAGAGCGAAATGAATCTGGGTTTAGAGGCGCGGGGGGGGGGGGGGGGTGCGCTTTATGGCGGCGTCTAGACGAGGATCTTTTGTTCCCGGGCAGCGCTGTGGCTGGAGGGGATTACCCCAAGAGGTCGCGTCCAGAGTGCCCCTGGTCGGCAAGGGGGGTTGGACATTCAGGAGTCTGAAGGTGGGTTTCTTGGGGGCCAGAGACCCCAGAGACCCCTGTTTTTCCTTTTTAGAAGATCACCAAGGCAGGTTCCTGGGCCTGGGTCACAGAAGTCTTTGTTTTTCTTTCACAAAGACTCTCCTCTCATCCTTCAGAAATCTCTTCTGGAGTTGAAAATCTTTTCTGGGTTGCACGTTGCAGAGAAAGTGGTAGCTGACAGTTTTGAACTTTTTTTTCCTCCCAAATCAGGAGCCCTTTAAAGGTTAATAGTTTGCTTTATAAACTGTTCATTCTAAAGAGTTCTCTCCATCCTCCTTTACAGGAAACACGGCCAACAGGCTGATGGTCCCTGATATGGCTAGTGGACAAACATTATACCTAGAGAAGTGCCACGCACACTCAGTTTGTGCTCCTGTCCACACTCATTAAACACTGCCAATGGTTACACACTATGGGTGACACACTCTGTACTACAGGTAAAAGTGTACAGATAATATTCCTTCTCACATTCATTCATGGGCACCCTGACTTCAACAAAATGTGCGGGGGCACATGAAAGAATTGTGGGCCACATATACACAACAGTTGTCTCAAGGACCCACGTTTACAATTAAGAGATTCAGACTCCTAAGCTTCAGGGTCTTCTGCCATCAACAACAACAGCAGAACTCAGGTTTGATAATCATGGTGCTTTTCCATTTCATTCAACACATGGATAATAACATTTTTAAATTACACAAGAACAGAGAGTGGAAAGATGAGAGAATTTGTCCTGAACCTTTGCTCCCAAGTAAATATTTATAACAGAGATGACCAAGTGGCTTCACTGAAAGTGTTGAAAGGACCGCGATTGATTATAAGAAATGTGCATACTGGGTGTGGTGGTACATGCCTGTAATCCCAGCTACTTGGGAGGCTGAGGCAGGAGGATTGCAAAGTTGAAGGTAGCCTCTGCAATTTAGCAAGACCCCATCCCAAGATAAAAATAAAATAAAAAGGGCTAGGGATGTAGCTCAGTACTAGAGCGCTTGCCCAGTATGTGCCAGACCCAGGGTGCAATTCCCAGTATCAAAAAGAATGGGGGGAAGGAGAAAGAGGAAGAAAAGGAGAAGGAAGAAATGTGCAGCAAATACATATATGGGTGTGGTGACTAGCCCCATGGGTCACTTCCTTCCTCAGTATTCCATCCATGTCTGACATGAATGTCAGACACAGCTGGAGGCTTTTTACTCTGGGACACCTAAATTATAAAACATCAGAGTGGCTCCACTCTGGGTATCTGGTTGTGACTGGAGGAGCCTGGCCATTTGTGCCAAAGGGGAAGGGGCCAGAGTCTACCTTCCCATCCTCAGAGGCTGTGGAGAGTACAAGGAGGGGGATGGCTCCTCTTCCTCTCCCCTCATTCCTCCAAAACTGTATATAAAATTTTCTATACCATCTTCTCATAGAGGAAAAAAAAAATACTTCACAAAAGCCCTACCCTCAACTCTACACATTTAACTGAGACAGACGGAGACATCTGGCAGGAGGACGGTGGAGCCAAGAAAATTCCTATAAATTTAAATTTGATGATGGTTACAATTAACTCCACAACGAACGTGTGCTTGAACGGAAAGCATTGCTGGGTGTTTGGACACAGCTTGAGCTTCACATGAGAAAGGAGATCTTAAGAGTAGCCCTGGAATGTCCTCTGTTTCAGAGAGGGAAGAAGCCACTGCCACACTCCTGACCCTGCCAGTGGAGAAGAGCTCTAGCATGGGCCTACCTTGCCTCTGCAGGCTTGTGCCCACGGGTGAGGATCTCCTGCATTTTCCCTCCTCCTCCTCCTCCTCCTCCTCCTCCTCCTCCTCCTCTGCCTTGAGAGGATGGAGGATTTTAAGAGGAGAGGGGTTAATAAAAAGGTCAAATAAAAATCATAATATTGAACAGAATGAAATATCTTTATTTGCCACAAAAAAAAATTAACAGCAACCCCTTTGGGTCAGGAGCAGGGTGGGGATTGCACATGTACACACGCACTCACGCACATGGAGGGAGATGGGTGATTTGAATTTCCTTCTGGCATGTCCTTTCCCATCCTCTCTCCGGTAGAAATAAAGGCTTGTGAAATTTATTTACAAAAAATTCAGGCCCCAGCAAGGAGGAGGTGCCCAATTCCATTCCTATTGCCTCCTCCACCCCAATTTTCTCTTTTTTTTTCCTCTTTATAAAAAAGAAAAGAAAAAGAAAAAAGGAAAGAAAAGAAAAAGTAAAAAAGGAGGTAATAACTGCCAAGACTACCTATAAATCCATGGAGTGGAGGGGGGCACTGCTTGGAGAAAGGTTAGGACACCTCAGTGTGCCAGTTAAGAAATTTCAAAGAAGGGCTCTACACATTTAGGGGGAGAACAACTAGGCTTGGGAGGAGCCAGGGCGCAGACGGAGGTAGGACACGGACTTTGCACACCTAACACCAGGTCGAAGGTACAGGAATTTCACAGCAAGGCAGGATCACATTTAGTTGCCCCCTAACAGTGGGGCAAGGTGGGGTAGGAGTGGGGAGCCCGAGAGGTCTCCCCTTGCAAACAAGGTGTCTTAGTGGATCTGTTCACTTGGGCAAGGGAAGGCTTGTAGTTCAAGGATTGTTCAGCTCAGACGCCCATTACGCTCGCCCCTCCCTCCACCAAATCCGAGCAGCAAGACATTGTCGCGAGGTGTGTTTTCTTTTAAATAAAAGAGTCTTGGGGCCTCGGCGCCAAAGGGATCCACTCGCCGTGGAGTCAGACACTTCCCTTCCCCTCCTTTTTCACGCCGGTCTCTATCTCCACAGCGAGAGTCAGACCGAAGGTGAAGGAGGTTCCGGAAGGAAGTGCCAGCAACGGCGGTGGGGGCCAGCCCTGGCCAGTCCAGTTTTCCACCCGCGGAAAAAAGACGAGTTAGAAAATAAAAAATAAAAATAAAATAAAATAATTTCTCCCTTTCCCTCCCTCCCCCCCCCAAAAGGGCCCCCGGTCTGCAGTTACAGCAGCGGATTTCCCGAAAAATACTGCAGCCGGTCTCTGCTTAGTTTTTTTTCTTTCATCCTCCTGTTCTGAAACCAAATTTTCACTTGTCGGTCCGTCAGGTTCAGCATCCGAGACAGCTGCAGCCGCTTCTCTTTGTTGATATACACGTTGAAGAAAAACTCTCGCTCCAGTTCCCGGATCTGGAATTTCGAATAAGGGCAGCGCTTCTTGCGGGTGCGGGGGGCGTCTGGAGGGAGGGGAGGAGGCAAGTGCGAGGAGAGGGGGAGAGAGACACGTGAGACCAGGGCGACCCCAGCCCAGCCCGCTGAGCGCTCAGCGGCCTTTCTCCCAGCCCGTGCGCTGGGCAGCCCTCCCGCCTGGCCCGCGGCTCTCCTCTTGCAGGCCGCAAAGCAGGGGTAAGCCTCGACCCCCTCGCCTGGTCTAGCTCCGGCCACTGAGCGACGGGCGCCCCACTGCCCTTCAGGCGGGAGCCTTAGCTGACAGGGTCTGGGGGTGGAAAGGAAAGCCTGCTGGGGCCACGTGCGTCTCCGTGCGCCCCCGGCCTGCTCTCAGGCAGCCCTGGGCGGCTCCATCACAGAGCTGCCCTCCTAAAGGTTCTGAAAGTCCACTACCATCTCCCCCAGAAATCTGGGGGAACCGCGGAGAAAGAGGCGCACAAAGTATGACCTGGCGAGAACAGTGGGGAAGCCGAGAGGAAACCGGGGAGCAGGCACCTAGACACCCTAAAGTCTCTTCCGGGGGGGCCTTGGCGCCCGGGGCCGCCCGCCGGGCCGCGCCTGGTATGCTGCCTCGCTAGGCCCGCACCGAGGCCGGAGACCGAGAAGAAACGCTGAGACCCCTGCCTAAAACACAGCGGAGCCGGGATCTTCCTCTCCTCCAGCCTCGGTCGCCGCTAAGCCCCTGGTTCTTTGGGTTTCTGCGCCAAGATTCGCGAAAACATCGTTTGAACATTTTTTTTTTAAAAAAATTGATTTTTAAAAAGAAGCAGAGCAACCCTGGCTCTCCATCTCGGGTCTCAGGTTCTGCTCCATTGCTTCTTTCCTCCACCTCTCCCCCTCTCTGAGTTTCTCCCAGTCTTTCCCTCGCCCTCCCCTTTCTCCCCCTCCACCCCTCCCCTCCCTCCCACCCCCCGGCAACCCGGCTCCCCATCCTTCCTTAAATGCTCCTCTAAGTTCACGATCAAAGTTAATATCGCCCGCAATGGTGGCACTTTTAAAATTTTCACAGACCGAGGAAGATAACGGGGGAGGGGGGTTCACCCGGCTTTTCCAAAGAGCCCGTTTCCCTCCCTCCCACCCCTTCTCCATCGTAAAAAGTCGAGTCGTTGGGAGAGAGGGCTTTGTAGGTTATAATAAAATCCTTTGAATGCTTATAAAACTCCACATAAAATCGGACTGACCCAAAACACGAGGCTGTCCCTGCTCCCCTGGCCACCCCCCTACTCTAGCCCTCCCTCTCCTTCCCTCCCTTGCTGCCCGCCTGTTCCCGGACGCTGCTACCTACTGGGGGCGGCTCCCTTGGCCGGCTCCTTGGTCGCCGAGTGGGCAGAACCGGACGAGCTGGGATTCGTGTTCTCCTCCTCGGCCTCCGCCTCGGCCCCCGCCTCAGCCCGGGACGCCAGTCCCGAGGCCGGGGGCGCTTCTGGCTCCCCCTTGGCCTCGCCCTTGCCGGAGCAGGGGGGCTCGGCGGGCGCGTCGCCGCCACCGCAGTAGGCGTTGTCGAAGAAACGGTCGAAGGCTTGAGGCAGGACGCTGTTCTTGTTGACTGAAGAGTAAAACCCGGCGGGGGCAGCATGTGGGGCGCTGGGGTGGTGGTGGCTGCCGTAGGAACCTTCGTTTTTCATGAGGATCTCAGTGACTGTGGAAGGAGGAAGGCACTCCCGGTGCATAAGCTCGTCGGCCGCGGCATAGCAGGAAGAGTAGCTGTTCCGATGGTGCCACTTGCCGGATGGCTCCAAGCCGTAGGAGACCTCCCGGACCGGGGGCACTTGGGCCGAGTAGGGATAGGAGATCTGACGAGAGGGGGCTTGGGGCAGGAAGGAGGAGACCGTGGAGAACTCGGGCACGTAGTAAGTGCAACTGGGTAGATAGAGGTTGGAGGCGCAGCTCCCTCGCTCGCCGAAGTCAGCGCCCCTCTCTTTGCGCGACGGCGAGCAGAAGTTGCCCAGGTTGACCGAGTTAAACATCGTTCTCCTCTCCTGCCGGCTCCGGATGGAGGTTTTGGACCCGGTCTAGTGAGGGGGGAAATTTTGGGAAGGCGAGATGACGCGTTATCCGTCTTAGTCTCTCTCCCCGAGCACGTGATCCAAAGTAGATATTGTCATATATCAGTTCGGAGCACTTCGCAGACGTAGGAGGGGTTCTCTCTTAGGTAAGATCGGGGACGTTCAGGCGATTGGTTTGCAAACACCGCAGAAACATTATGAAAATCAATTGCAGATTTGTATTCGTTTTTCTCTCGTCACTCCCCTCCTCTCCATTCCACAGAGCGAGCAAAGGAGGAGAGAGAGGTTGGGGTGGGGTGGGCGGTGGGATGGGCGGGGGCGGTGGCTGGGAGGGGGCAATAGTATTTTTATCCCTAGCTGCTGCTCCCCACCCCACCCCCAGGATTGGGGAAAAGAGGCGAGCTTTCAATATGGGGGTATTGCTTCTTCCCTGTGATCAGCAGAGACCAGAATGAAGACTTCTTTCCCCATTGCTCATTTCCCGGAGAATAGTGAATCCTTTCCCCCCAAGTCTAGGAACTCTTACCCCTCCAACCCGCAGTCAGCGCCTGTACAAGAGTTTGAAGAAGTCCATTCTATTATTTTTTTTTTCTGGCCAGAGCTGGTTGTCAAGACTCCCTTTTAGGTATTTGGAGAAGCTCCCGGGAAGAGTATCTGAAGTTTCCCAAAGGTGAGGCAGCCCATCTAGAAGCCAGTGTCCCAACTTTGTCTGGCTTGCTGTGCTGTTGCCAGCTAGGGACTCCGATTAGTCATAAACGAGTGGTAAGCGAAGCGCCAGCCGCCCAGCCGGTGCCTGGCGAAGTCTGGGAAAAACCTTCTCTAATGTTGTGTTAAATATTTAGTATGAGAGAGTGGCCCTGGGTGAATATTTCATGCTTGCCTTTATTGTCAATCAATGTGCAGAAAGCTCCATCCACTGTGGATTTTTAAATCCCAAACCCCAAAGAAAAAGATTGGAAAGAAAGTCATGCATCTTCTACGTTAGGGCCCTTGGGGTTGGGGGCTCAGCTCAGCTAGTAGGCTGAAAAGAAGCCTAAAGGGGGGTGCAGCAGAATATGGTGGGAGTATTAGGTTTGGGGCTCCTGTTCTTGAATGATTTGGGAGACCTGTGAGGTGGATAGTGGGGCCAGGTACAGTACAGACCAGCTGGACAGTGGTAGAGAGCTGTGGATCCTAAGGCAGGCAGGGTAGGGCCAGGGGCCTCTCTCTAGAGGGAATCTCTAGAACCTCAACCTTGGTGTAAGTCAGATACCACTGCCTCCCTGTTTCTCAGTCCAGCCTTGCCCTGCTCTCCTCCAAGTCTGTCATCCTTCTGGATGACTGTGGCCCAAAGGGTAGGCTCGGTAATTTTGTCCTCTTGTCTCCCATCCCTTTGGGCACCACAAGACATGTCTGGGAATCAGAAAATCACTTCATTGAAAGGTTCTGGACTGGGTCAAAGGGACCTGATCAATTGGCATGAGCAGAGAGCAATCTTGGTTCCAAAGAGGAACTGCCAGTGTATGATTTGTTAAGGAAGGAGAAGAAGAGCTGAGACCCCAAGGACTGAGCCCACTGAGCTCTTAGAGAAAGAAAGAAAGAAAAAAAGAAAAGCTAGAACCCACCTTACATCCCTAACTTTTGGTCAAAATTGGTTTTCACTTTAAATTTTTTTATCATGATTCTATTTTCCTTGCTGAAGCATGATGAAGTACGAGGCCCCCAGATCAGGTGGGAAGACCTATGGTAACTTCTCTAAACACTACCCTGCCAAATCCATTCCTACTCAACTTTTATTCCTCCCTAAATTTGCTTAACTTTTAGAGTAAAACTTGGGTGGGATCTGCCTTGACCCTAGGTCCCATTCTTTAGGTTAGAGTGTTAAAGAGTACCCTTCTATCTACTCAGTGCTGGGCTTTGCTTCCTGAGCCCTCCTTAAGTCTGGGCTAGACCTTTACTGAGGGCAAAGAGGAACTAGATTGGGGCTTTGCTAAAGTGTGGAACTTCTCTGTGCGGAAGGGACCAAAAGGAAAAATCTGTTGTGTTTCCTACTTCCTCCAGCCCTTTTTATAGGGTAAACTGGGGGCAGCATTTTAAATTATAATGGTGGGAAACTCGGAACTGTGGTTTTTATGGGGTTCGCACTGACCTCATTAAGCTTGAGTTTATTAGAGGCAAAATGCTCCCCAAACAGTGATAGTAATCAAGGAGAGGGAGGCAAGAGGAACCCTTATCCCTTATAGAGGTGTTGATGAGGGTAGTGTTTCACCTTCTGCTTTCTCCCCTTCCCTAGGAGAGTCTGCTTCCTTCCCCCTTCTGGCCTCCTGGGCAATGAGGGGCCCAATCCCCCAAGGCACATTCTGCACAGGCAGGGACAAGGGGGGTGTGGGCTGCTTCCTGTGAGGAGACAGCTGTGGGCCTGAGCACTTGAATTTGACCACCAAGTTTATTCCAGGGCCATCATAAAAGTAAGCCAGGCGGCTGCAAGGGGCTGCTGGCGGCCTTATTTCTTTGAAACAAAAAAACGAACAAACAAAAACAAAAAGGAAATGCAAGAAAGAACATCAATGACTTAATATCCTGGAAACTTGGGGTCTCCCAGTACAGACTTTTGAGAAGTTATACTCTGCTTCCTAAAAGTAAAACACCAACCTTACATTTTTTCCTATTGTTTCTCTGACTTTTAGTTTTTCAACAGTTAAAAAAAAAAAATCCCAGCAGCTGTCAGTTGCTACTGGGATCAAGGAAAGAAGGCCCTAAAGTCAGCAAGATGTTGATTGGCAAAAATATCTAAGGTGTGGGGTAGTGACTTCTCTGCCTATCCTTGGTTCCAGACCACCCATAAGCATGGTCTGAGCTTGCTTGTCCCAGGCTGCACCCTCTCAATCCGCAGTTTCTGGCCAGGACAATAGTTATCTCCCCTACAGGGAGCTATCTGTGGCCCCAATCCTTTCCCTGGTGGGCTTCCTCCAGGTGGCTATTTTTTTTCCTCACCTGGTAGGTGGGGAGGTCTCTCCAACCGCCCAGAGTCCGATCCTTCACCTGAAATCCTCCGCGGGAGGGCCATCCTGCTCGCTCTTGTTGGCCTCAGTTCCCGCTGCCTGCCTGACCGCTAGCAGGCGGCTGTGGTCCGGGTAACTGCCTTGGTAGTCTGACCAGGGCCACACCAGCGCCCTTGCCTCCCACACAGGGACGCAGAGACAGCTTCAGAAGGGGGCAGTATCTAGCGAATTCTGGCCTGAGCAGCTCCCAGCGGCCTCCCACACATAGCGCTAGGGTTGCCTTGCAGCTTGTCTACCTTTTCCTGGGTTTTACAGATCTTGGTGGGGAGAGGTGACTACCCCACAGATCGTTGACTAGGAAGAAAACCCTGGGAAAAGAAAAGGGGTGCCTAAGCTCTCCTATGGGCTTTGGTTGTAAATTCAGTCCTGTATAGAGTCAATGAAAAGATAAGGGGAAGGAGTCCCATGCATGGACACCCACAGTTCTTATCCTAGGAGGATGAGGAGGAGCCCTCATAAAAATTCAGCTTGTACCTTTTTGCACATATTTCTGTCCCTTAGAGCAATATTGTTGCGTTGACTAATCCCTTTAGAGTGCTTTGGGATTTTCAGACTAACAGCTTATTTTTCAAAGGAGACACCCATACCCCACTCCACCTCAGCCAAGAAACTGGAAAGGGTAGGACTGCTGGTTTGCAGCTTCCGCCTAGCTTCAGCCTTGGTCAGAGCCCCAAGCCCAAGGCCACAAGTCAGGCCACCTAAGTGATGGACTCTGCTCAGTTTCCTCCAGCATATGGAAGAGGTATGTGGTAGGAGAAGGGCAGTTTCTCTACCCCTGTAGCCCCACCCAGTTTTCTCCTGAGAGGTATTGTCCCAGGAGGCTAGCAGTGCAACCCCATTTCTCCCCATAAAAGCCCGATTTTATGAGCCAGTTTCACTGCCCCCCATCACCAAATGCTCTAAAATGAAAGAAATGCCTTAAAAGTAGTCTGGAAATGGAGCTGCTGCCCTGAGCCTTAGTTTCCAAAGCCAGTTGTGGCCCCACAGAAAATATCTTTTCTGGGCGAAATTGCCCGCTTGGGCCACCCAAATCTCCCCCCTTGCTCATAGCAGAGACTGGGTTGGCCCAAGCCGCCATTCCCAGGCTTTAGCGCCTACTTAGGCTCGGACCCAGTCCTAGCTGATCAAAGTGAGCTCTCGGCATTTTTATGAGATCAACTTCAGTGCCTCTTTACTTGTAATCAGACGCCTGGATCGAAAATGCAAAAGAGAACAGCCCATCAATCCAAAAAAGAAAAGGAGAGAGAGAGGGAGAAGAAGAAGGTAAGGGAGAAGAAGGAAAGGGAGATGGAGAGAGAGCAAGAGAGAGAGAGAGGACAGAAAGAAGGATCTGAAAATTCAGGTGTTACAGAGCAAGAAGATTCCAGTCACCAACAAAAAAAGAATCTTTCCCCCAGCAAGAATGGTTTGTGGGTCTGTCCCAGCCTCTAGGCCCTGTCTTTCTGCCCGCACTTTTCTGCCGGATTTCCGGGAGCCCTGACTCGCCAGGGCTTGAAAGCTAGATTCCATCTGATAGTTTCCACAGTGTGGACGTCTGCGTGGGTCGAGTGTGCTGGCCTCCATTTTCTTGCCCCTACAAGAAAGCCTCCTTCTGCTCACGATTTAAAAGTCTCCCCCATTTTGCTGCCTTCTGTGATCTCCATGGTTCTCTCTTCACTACAGCCAGAAGTTGAGTTACAGGAAGATTCGCCAGAGATTTATCGCCCAGCCCCAAACTTGGAGAGCCTCGTTGTCATAAACAGCCGTCTATTGTCTAGACTTTTATCTCCCGGTATGGATCTGGATCATGCATTAGCAAGGCTCAAGGGACGTGGGCTGGCTCTGTGGGGTGTGCAGTGCAGCCATGCCTGCCCAAGACCCTTAGGGGTTTCTTTGGGTCAGTGTAGAAGAATGCATAGATTTGTGTGTGTTCTTGGAGTTGGGCAGGTATACCTGAGTGTCCACGGGCGGAGGCCAGAGGTAGAAAAGGTTTCTTTCTCTCTGTGCCTGGGAACATTCTGGTGCGTGTACTTGTGTGTTGGGTGAGAATTTGTCACGGTGTGCTTTGTTCTGGGGCATTTTAAGTGTTCCTGTCTGGGCTTTTGCAGGTTTTATTAACCTGCATCCGCTGAGCCTGTTTATGTCCCTTCGAAGCAGATCATCTGGTGTTTTTCAATATTGGAGTCCATTGTGTGGATTGGCTTCTTTGAGGAAATGGTTTTGGGTGATACCTTTCCAGCCTTGCCCCTTTAGATTCCCCTATCCACCCTGAATCACACTTTAGCTTCTGCCTTCACCAGGGTGTCTGGCCTTGCCTTTCTCTGTGTAAGTCCCTAAATCTCCGAAGTGCCTGCCAATTTTCTGTCAGGCATAGAGTACATTTTTGCAGGGTGAAGTCTGGCTATCTCTATCATTCCCACACTAGGGGGAAGCATCCCAACTAGTAAACCTCTTCACTTCCTGGGACTCCCCTTCACAGCTGAGGGAACATTAGAAAGGGCCTCCCCTGTCCATTTTGAACATTTAAAATACTTTCTGCAGAACTCTAGATCTTGACAAACAGGGCCCACCATTCCTTTTCTGGGACTTCCTGGTAATGAAAGCTCCCACCCTGGCTATCCCCTAACTGCTTGAGCCCAAGCACTTTGACAAAAATGGCACTTTTACTAGATTAAATGCCTGCGGGTGAAATACTTATCACTCAGACCTTAGGTTTAGAAGCTCCATCAAACGCCAGGATCCTTTAATACAACCAGAAATAATCAAATCCGGCCTCTTTGTTTTTTAGTATGGGAACACAGGGTAGGAGGTACCAGGCCCCAAGGCCTGGGAGCCCGGGTGACCAACCATACCCATTGCTTCTGTCACCCTGGCCCCACTTCAGGTCTCTGCGGTATTCCCAACCAGGTAGGCAAGGTGGGAGGGGGTTGATTCCAGAGCCCAGCTTTCAGGTTGAGGAGGTGGAGGTTACAACAGTTAAGGGCTTTGGAAGCATCAGATTTAAACAGAATCCCCTATCCTTGCTTTCTGAATATCCTTAACATTAGAATTTCAATTTAAAAAGAAATAATTAGACCTTAAAATGGCTCCAAGAAGAGGAGAAAACAAGCTGTGAAGTCCAGGAAAAAGGAGGTGAGCCCTTTGCAAATACCACCACTCCAATAAGACCTTCTCTCCACACCTCTGTGATACCTTGGAGGAAAAGGATCAAGGATCCCAGTTTAGGCTCCTTTCCGCAGCACTTTCAACTGAGCCGCAGGCTCTACACCGTCAGCCCAGCCGGCAAGGCTGCGGATCTCACTTTCTGTCTCACAGGCCGGCTGTGACTCCGCCTTACTCTCCGTGTCTCCCTGCCTTCCTCCATTCTGCCGCCCAGCTCCCTGAAACCAACAAATATCGAATATACTTGCTTCTCCGCACCCAAGGCCTGGACTGAGCAGGCTCAGCGCTATGGGATCGCAGCGGGAGTACCCGGTCCTTGCGTGGTCACCAGCTGCAGCCTCTTTCTTCGCTATTTGCTGGGTTAAAACGCTTCTCTCTCACTTCCCTCCTTTTCGCCCCTGGATCTGAGAAATAAATCCAAGTCTCCTACTGCATCAGCCCTCCCCATCGCTGCTATCTCACTTCTCCTTACCGAAGATAGTCTCTTTGTTTTCTGAAGGAAACCGTAATATTCAGACATTTGAGAGGTAAATGAATTTTTCTTTAAGATGTTTGATTTTCTCTTCATTTCTTAACGTCCTGCTCCGCTGGACGGTGGAATAGAACGACTTTAGAAGTCTGCAGAGGGGAGAGGGTGAGTGGAGAGATGGAGCCCAGAGTTAGCGGTCATAGATGTGGAAGACCAGGAGAACTTAGGAGGGGAAGAGGGGGGAGGAG